AAATCCTGAATAACTTCATGCAGTTAGGACAAATTCTGCTTAGAACTCTAGAATTTAGACCTACGTATCTCTCTGCTCAATCTGACACCTACTTCCAAGTCCTTCATTTCAGGTTACATTACCCTTTGAGAAATCCTCCAACTTATGCACTTTGAGAGTCATCATATATCCTTTAATTAGTGTGTATAACTCACTGTTTCTGGAGTCTCAGTCCTCCATGGATATTTAGTTCCCCAAAGTTACTTGCCTATAAAATATTCACTGAACTTATATAGCCGGCGACACAAACACTTCGTTTCCATTGACACTGACACGCCATGTCCACGTAAGCACCTGTCGTCTGATTACTGAGTTGGAAGAGTTGGTGGCACTTCTCGTCTTCTGGGTCTGGGTTCCCTCAGGTTCTTCTGAGGTGTGTTTTGCACTGTTTCTCCCCATCCCCAGGCTGCCTGGGTTTATTCTGCCTGTCAGAATCACATTCAAGCACAGTTGTTTTCATTAGTATCCTCTGGCTCTCTCCCCCTTGGATCCAGCATTTCTTTGGTGTATGATGGGAGAGGAGAAAAAGGGAGAAATTTCTTTTAAGATGTGATCTTCAAGTATATTGTTTTGTGTTCCCTGCGATCTCTGGCATACTCCCATGTGAGCCTCGTGCCCAGCAGACCTTATTCTTATTTACTGGGGGTTGGGATCTCATTTTTCAAAGCCAGGGATGAAAAGTGGAAATGGAACAAACCCAGGAAATAAACCAGTCAGGGCGAGTTTGACCCCACTCCCAGCTCCTCACCACCACAGCGGCAGGCCCGCCAGTGAAATTCCCTCAGCCCCTCTTTAAGACTCTACTGTTTGTTTTAGATTTACATTTTGCTGTGACATTCCTTTGGCTGGGGGTATTTTTTCATTTCATGCAAAGAATTGTACTTTGAGCCATCACTGTATAAATATTTAGATACTATACTTTAGGATATGAGAAAAGATGGTCCCTTGCTCGTTTTTGTTGTCACTAATTCACTCAGCATGTAAATTAGACCTTGAGTTTCTACAGGGGTGATGAGTCAGGGAGAATAAGTGTTTGTGAGAGGGGAAGAATTTTCTTTTGTTATGTCTTAAAGACATAGATTTCTCATTTTAGCAAAGAAAATTAAATACCTATCTGGTAAGATTTCAATGTGGAGCAAATAAGTGATATTTAAAATAGTGTGTCAGAATGAAAAAAAAAATTCAGAAAATGGTTGCCAACCTCGTTCCTTCACAAAGAACGTTAGAACATCGCCTTGCATAAGGAAGGGTCCCGGCCAGCTGTTTTCTTTCCTTCCTGATGAACAGCTGCAGACAGCTGGTCTACTTTTAGTTCCCTACAGTCCAGGAGGAAGAAGGGAAGGGAGAAGGGGAGAGGGTGACTGGAGGGAGAGTAATTGGTGGGACCTCACCCAAGGTGTATATTGCAAGGGTGTGTGTCAAATCTATTAAGAATTGAGTATAAATGTCATGATACAATAATTAAGTGAGGTGAAGGCTATGTTGACCAGTTTGATGTAAGCATTCCAAATTGTATATAAAATCAGCACATTGCACCACATAAATGCATTAATGTATACAGTTATGATTTAATTAAAAAATTTAAGAAAAGAAAAGCTGCAGAGATTATGTGCTGTTGCCTTTATGATCTATTCCTCGTCCCACACATCACCTCCCTGTCCTTACTTGAATCTTTTTCTTATTAATCTTTCATTTTGTGAAATTACTAATAGCTCACTCTTTTTCTAAAAAGGTTTTTGCTTTGTTTCACAGCAGTGCACACATAGTATTAATGCAAAAAAAGATATTTTTGGCATCTCTTAGACAGATCCTGACACTCGGGACTTCCCCTAAAGCTCTGTCCTGAGCCTCCTCTGTGACTCCTGCCTTTCCTTGGGGGACTTTGTTCTCTCTCTCAGCCTCAGTTTTGAGTGTTTCCCAGATATGTGATTTTCCGCCCTCCTTCTTGAACACAAGCTACATAATTCCAACTGCCTGCTGGATGGTTCCACCTGGATTTTCAGCTGATGCCTGAAACTTACATTATTTTGCAATAGTTTAATGCTTGGAATAAACTACATTTGGCCATGCCTGCTTATTACTAAAATTCCCAGAATGATTCACCCATGGAAAATCTATCCAACCATAATAAAATAATCTAAGGGGAGGAAATTGTGTAAACATTGACATAGCTTCTATAAAAGCAACAGAGTGCTTTGGGGTAGATTGGCAGAGACTTATGGTATTAAAGAAAAAAATAGAGGGGGGGGGAAACAGTCAACAAAAAGTTATAGATGTCCATAAGCAAGCTCAAAAATGAATGTGACTACAAAGTGTACCACATACTAAAATCAACTTAAGGTGAAGAAAGACAAAGAAAGATCAGGTACTTCTTCCCCAGGGAATTTTCAATTTTCCTTCAATCAGGAAAGATCTCTCATGGGGATGAAATCCTGCTCCCCACTTGAGAGTGGTCTGCAGAGATGGAGCCCTCTGCTCTCTGTCTCCCTAGTGTCTATAGAGATGGAGCCCTCCGCTCTCTGTCTCCCTAGTGTCTATAGAGATGGAGCCCTCCGCTCTCTGTCTCCCT